TTATCAATTGAATTTAAATTAAAACTACTCAAATAAAATTTTGTATCTGTTATGTAAAATATACGTAACGTTAAATAAATATAAAATAAACTATAAATCTTTTATAAAAAATCGCTATCAGTGTATGTGTTGGGATCCACTATCGTGGACCCCCATTTTCACTTCATGGACCCCCAAATTTTTTTTCGCTGACGTAGACCCCTTGCAGGTTGTCTGTGTATGTCACTGATCTACGCTATATTAAATATTGTTATATTTTATAAGTATTCAAACATTTTAACATAATTATTTATATGTTATAACAAAGTTAATAGCGTAAAAATCAATTAAAAAATCCTATTAGAACCATTTTCTTTTCCACATATAACTGATAAAGAACAAAAAATGCTGTTTATACCTTATAGTAAGGTGATGGAGGTCCTGGACCCGAAAATTCTCAGAATATTACCATCATCTACACCCGACCTCAATAATCATCCAGCAGCCTTGCTATTAATCTTTAACGTATATTTATTATCGCACGCAACGCAAATTTCAACAGTTCGGTGCAGTGAAAATCTTAGAGCACCTAATTTTTAAACTCAGCACCTTAAAATCAGCTTCCAAAAAGGCTCTAATTTTGGCTTTTTCTAAATGCGAATTCCTGACTGCGTTGCTGGCAAGACAGTGCTACAACATCATGCCTAGTTGCTATTTTCTGCTGCAGATATCATCTCATGGTGAGTGTAGAGAAACAGAAACTCTTTTTACTAGCAACAAGGCATTCCATCCCAGTCCTCAGGGGCGACAACGCAACTGAATTTTGATTCTTAATCGAGGATACGAGGGAGACACTTAAAGGTCTCTGTGATGGCATTTTGAAACGCAGCCACTGCTTCCACGGCGTCCATAAAACGTTTTCCTCGAAGTTTTTCTTTTATTTTCGGAAATAAATAAAAATCAGTAAGTAGGTAGTCAGTCAGTAAGTAAGGTCAGGGCTATAGGGCGGGTGACCCAATAATTCCACGTCTGACGTCGCCAAGCAGTCGATTGTTTGCTTTGCGGTGTGGGACGAGGCCTTGTGCTGAAGGAAAATCTTACTGCGAGGTCGTTTCTCCCGAACTTTTTCCAAGAAAAGTGGCAAACAATTGTTAGTGTACCACTCTGCAGTAACTGTTTTTCGATCCTCTAAAACAATTGTTGCTTAATGACCTGTCCTTCCGAAGAACGAGGCCACCATCTTTTTTCCCACACTTCGACCTCTCTTCACTTCAGATGGCAACTCCTCAGAAGGAAACACCCAGACAGCAGCAGACTGTCTCGTAGTTTCAGGATCATAATCGTAAATCCAGCTTACGTCACCCGTAAGTATGCCCTCCGCTAAATCTTTGAACCATTTCACGACACCCATCAACTCGACGGATTTTTTGGGCCTCTGTCAAATTATGAGGTATCCACCGGGCACAAAACTTCCTGACCGCTAAATATTCATGGAGGATTTTGTGCACTTGACTCATACCAATTGCTTGTCCGAATCTGCTGATAAGTCACTATTTTGTAAGTCTCTATCATACGCCACACAACACTGATGTTATCGTCAGTCAGATCATCAGTGAGATTAGTGCGACCACGTTTAAACTTATTAAACCAGTTGTAAACAGTGGCACGAGATGGGGTTTCATCGTGAAAGGCCAATCAAAGTCTATCATAACTTTCTTGTTAACTTGAATGGCATCGAAAGTCATTATAAAAGTTTTACAAACATTTTGTCGCGTTAAATTCATGCTGACGTGACACAGACAATTTTCAATTTGCTGCCAAATCGTAAACCAATGACAAATTAATAAAATACATGCACAATAATATTGGCAAAGAGTTCCATTTTCAAAATTTGAACTTATTTTTTTATTACATCGGTTACAAGTGGCCAGTTCTAAAAACTTTCAGTGTCACCCTCGTAGATATAGGACTGTTTACTCCTTTGTCGAGCTTATACTATGTTTAAAAAAAACACCAATTTTAACGCGTGGAGTACCGTAAACATGTTTCTCTACATAATAAAACACGTAATAACATATCCTTAAAAGTAAATACATATTTTAATTTTATTCAGCAAATTGGTTTGTATTGTCATGTACCCGTATCAACTCTGTCAAGCCCAAAGACCCTGAATTCATTCTTTTGAAACTTTTGTCGATATTTACTGCGAAATTTTGGGGGAAAAAAATTAAACGTAACAAAATTGTATTGTTACGAGCTTGAGGTTCGTGACAATAAAAATTGCCGATAGAATTACCTAAATTAACACTTCAATTTTCTTTACACCAATTAAAACTTAAAACATTAATCACACTGTTTCACTTTATTTCACTCCGAAGTTTCGCTTGTCTCGCCAAATTCAATACTTCCCCGATCGCGTATTGCAGCGCCTCTAAATACACGTTATCACCGAAACATCAAGAACATTCAAGTAAATACGCGCGCCAACCAACCAGGCGCCGAAAGTTCGAGTGTAGAGCTTCTAGAAAGTTTAGTTCTTCAATTCGATACTAGATGGCGCTGTCGGTTGAAAAATTAGTCATGTCATTTTCTGGAAAGCTCTCTCCTCGCTCTGATACCCGACGCTAGATGGCGCTAGTGCCAGATGTCAACTTAGCCACGCAACACTGCCCCCTCCTAAGACATGCTCATCCCGAGCATTATCGGCCCCATAATAACGCGCGATGCGATCCACATGGACGATCTTAGGAGTCCCTCTTGCGCCTTTCTGTATCCGGTAGGTTACATCGTTGATCCTGGTCACAATCCGGTACGGGCCGTCCCTTTTAGCTTGAAGCTTAGGAGATTTCTCTTTGCTGCGGATTGGATTGTGCAACCACACAAGTGAACCTTCGTCGAACCCTTTGTTGTTCATTTTGCGGTCATACCGGGTTTTCATCTTTTCAGACATTTGCTGGCCCGATTGTCTGACGTGCTCATAAATGTCATTCATTTTGTTCCGCAAGTCATTTGCATAATCGGTTATACTGCGTGGGGCATCTGGTGGTATCCCGGTGATCAGGTCTGCAGGCAGCCGTAATTCTCTTCCAAAGTTTGCGAAAGCTGGTGTCACTGCTGTACTTTCGTGAACAGCGCTTCGATATGACAATAAAAACGGTTGTATGTGCTTGTCCCAATCTCGTTGCCGATTGTCTACAACTTTTGCTAGGTACCTCTCCAATGTCTGATTAAATCGTTCTACCATTCCATCAGATAGCGGGTTATAAGAAGTCGTTCTTGTTTTATCAGTACCCGTAACTCGGCAAGTTTCCTGGTATATTTGAGACTCAAAATTCCTTCCTTGATCGCTGTGAATCTCTAAAGGTACTCCAAAACGACAGACTTCATGAACTAGCTTATCCGCAACTGTTGAAGCTTCTTGATTTGGAATGGCGAAGACTTCTGGCCACTTAGTGAAGTAATCCATCACAATCATGAAATACTTGTTACCGCTTTCACTCTCCGAAAACGGTCCCGCCATGTCAATGGCTATTCTCTCCCATGGTGCACCAACATTGTACAACTTCAATGCACCTCTACTACGAGTCTGAGGTCCCTTTACAGCCACACAACTTGTACATTTGCGACACCAGTCCAGTCAGTTAAAATATATTATTATTTAAAAACTTCAAAACATTAACAAATAAACATTAACATTTATAGTGGTTGATTAGCGCTTACTCAAATTATATAAGTAGGTATTCATTTTTTCTATAACCGTCTCTTTCTATTGGCATGAAGTAAAATAGAGCAAGTTTACGGCCCTAAAGGAAGATATTTTAAGTAACAAACTGAAATTAAATCTTTCCTGAGGCTACTTTGACGGTATAAAATATGCACGTTCTTATTTTATTTTTTATCATTATTGAATCTTACATTTTGGTCTGAATATATAAACTGAACATACAAAATAGTGTTCATACGTCCATTAGTTAGGCTTAGGCTTTCATTTCTGAGAAGCTAATGGAGCATCAGTCCACCGCACTACTCACTACGGTAGCAACACTTGCTGATCGACACGATGTTTTCTTTTAACGTCGAACAACTGGTAAATCAGCTTTTAAAGTGACACTTTTATTTGTGACTGCGGAGATCGAACATAAGTTGTTCGCTTAAATTGAAATTTACGGTGATAACCCCTGAGCTACAGGGACTCCTTCTAGGCTACGCTGTAGTTACGCGAAAACGCAACGCCATTACAAATGTTAAAAAGTAGGACTAGAGATTTATTTTATTCTTAGTTTTTTTTTCAGTTTTCTTCCGCTTATGTGTTACACACAAAGTGTTAATCACAAAGCGCCTGATTAAATATATGAGCAAAATTGTATATCCTCTCATTTTCCGTAAAATAATAAATTAAATAAATTAGGTCGGCAATAGCTACATAATTTATTTTACATATTCTTTTCATTTGATTATACGTGTTTATAACATTTTGTTACCATACTGAAATAAAAAAAAACTATAAACTTTCATTATCATACAGTCCTACAGCCCGTGGTAGAGTGCCAAGAACGCTGGTTGCGTTTCCTCTACGAATGGCTATACTTAACCTTTGAGTGAGCACTTAAATAGCCCTCTTGTCAGCAGCAGTGACGTGTTACTATATTATTGTAATTTATATCAGAAGTTAACTGATTCAATAACAGCGATAAAATATTATTTAAAGAGAAATTATTATATTCTTTTATGTTTATTTTCAATCACTATTATACACTCATTAAGTACTATTGCCTAATTGATAAATCTCATCGATAAATAAAAACATATCCGCTCCTGGTTTTTGTTTCATAATTCTTTGGTCTTTTATGTTTATTTCGGGACGTCGTTTTCATAAACTCAGTCAAATGAAATATTTTATAGAAAAATAAACGCTTTTATCCACTGCTGAACTACGTCTCTCAAGGAACGCCACAAAGTATGATTCAAAACTAATAATTTAAAACAACATTTAAAATAAATTGTATCATTTTCGCCTGCAGGGATCTTGCAGCCTGCAATATTTTAGTGGATAGTGCAGGAATACTGAAAGTGGCAGACTTCGGCCTCTCCCGACCTGGAGTATACGTACAGACTCGGGCTAGATCGGTGCCGCTGCGCTGGTTAGCACCAGAGGCAATCTTCCACGCACAATACTGCAGCGCGAGTGATGTGTGGGCCTTCGCTGTGCTGCTATGGCAGATAGCTACACTAGGTAAGAACAAATACCACCCACAACGGAAATTAGATTAATTTGATACAAAAAATTTACGTTATTTTGGCAAAACCTAAATGAGAAATAGCGACGTTTTCTTCTATAGCTGTTGACTAGCTTCAGTCAACTGCTCTCACAGCATGAAACAGAAACGCCATCTTGATATTTTACCGTGGTAAATTTAATGAATCTATGGTAAAAGTTGTTGGACGGCATTGCCATGAAGTACTGGCTTGTAGCATGCATAAATAAGAACATAAAATCCGTAAAATTATTTTTATTTAAAGAACAATAAAACTATTAAAATAATTTGGAAAATCCAAAAGTGCACACTGTGACAGCGTCGTCCTTCCTTGGTAGATCCAAGCAATTTGTGCTACAATGTAGTTACAGAATGGCTCTAACTCTAACACGTAAATAGTTATATTAATATCCAATTTCAGGCGGCTTTCCATATGCAGTGCTGAGCAATCATAAAGTACCAACATTCTTGACGAGCGGCGGTCGACTGCCGAAACCAGCGCGTGCCTCTGCTCGACTCTACCAGTTAATGACCGAATGCTGGTCGGAGAACCCCCATGATCGTCCAACGTTCGCCCTCATAGTGGAGAAGCTTACTGCCCAGAGGGAACTCTACGTGGACCTCGACTGCCTTTACCCAGCATCCGAAGACCACCTGACCCCGTTGAGTGACTACTTTAGCACGGCGAGTGTTGACAGTGAAACCTTCCGGTGACCCTTCAAAAGACTGATTTCTGTTTATTATTATTTATTACAGTATCGCATTAAATGTATTTAAATTTTAACATATTTACTGTTTTATTTAAAAGCCATAATATGTGTATGTATATTGTTTACATGCGAGCAAACGAAATTAAGAACTAAACTAGGCATCGAATTTCTGAAGTTTTGATAGATAATTTACGTGGTAGAGTCGCGGTGTAGCTATAATATGGCTGCAGCGCCAATGGACTTGGAAGAACCACGTTTTCACAAAATATCTGTGTAAAATAGTTCCTTAATGTTATAGTATTTCGTCTGGTGAGTGCGGAAAACCGAAGGGGTCCTCGGTTTATTTACTGAAAACCAGTCATTCTACGCATCATACAGTTATAATCAAGTAACTCTAGTGCGTGTTTGCGGATTTCACGTATCTTCGAAATATTTTTGCCTTCAGATATGCATGCATGCAGTTGCTTTACGATGTTTTCCTTGAACGCATACCACGTTGTAAATCAGCATGCGGGAATGAACCCAGGTTGCTCATGTATTGCAAATTTATGGCGAGCGATTGTCTAGCTTATATAATGATAAATAAAAAAATACTATTCAATAAGTTAGTAGGCATTCAAGTACCACGTAATGCAATTTGGAGGGAGAGCGATCTTGTAAAACGTTACGACGCGTTACAGGGGCGGTAACTTTCAACAACGCGTTAAGTAACATGGTTTTTTAATTTAAATAAAAAACTATCAACTTAAAGTCTTCCAAGTTGGCAACCCTTTTCGTCTATGTTTTACGTGGAATTAATACTTTGACTGTATTGTACGTCATTTTAATTTTGTTTTCGTTGTCCGTATTCGTTAGTGTTTACGTAGAGGCGCATTGCAGATTATAGAAAGCCCGAAGATAGCTTGAGCCGAAGCAAGAGAGTGCAAATGCACAGTCGCTACGTACATGGCAAGACTGCCCAAGACCGTCGTGAAAGTAGAGTACGGCCACAGCGAGTTGCTCTCAGCATGGCAAATAAGCTTCATTACGCGCCACTGTGAAATATCGTCTGAAAACGCCGATTGGCTCGAAATGAAACTAAGTTGATGCAAGCGGTTTAACAGTTCCGGAAGCCTCTTCAGCTGCTCTCCGTGTGCCAGTAATGAAAGAGTCTGAGTGGCTGGCAAACCCGTGAACATAAGAACAATTTTTTTACATACCTACTTATTTGAATTATAATTTTAAAATAAAATCGGATATATCCGATTTTATTTTAAAATTTTGTTAAGTATACGATATTATTTTGACTTAAATGTTTTATTTCTGTTAGGTTTATAATTGCATTGCCAAAGTTTTTAATAAATAGGTTATGTCATTTAAAGAGTTTGCCTGTTAGTGAAAAAGCTAAAACAGGAAAATGCTTGAGAGGAGCAACGGTGGATGAAGCTAAACTAACTAAAATGTATGTGTGGATATGGCCAATCAGGAAAATGTTGTAATTAAATGTAAGATTAGTATTAAAATTTTATCAGGACAAATTCGACCCCTTTGTAACATATTTTAAATTTAAGTAATTATTTATTACTTTATGTGTGATTGTTCGTTAAATAATTGTTAGTAAGTAATATCTTGTTTTATTTATTATTACCGCAAACGCTATTAAAACAATAACAAAGGTATTTTAGTGATTATACAGTACTTTCCGCAAGATAATTGTGACTTTTAGGTAAAAATGGTCACATAGATGTTACATAACGTTTAGTAATAAATGAGTCCTAGATACTTGAAATTAAATAATAATAATATAAATAGTCTAATTCGTTGATTAAATTACATCTAGGTCTCGAATGTATTGCACAACTTTCGTTTAATGTCAAAACTACTTCTAAAAAGTTTCCGACTTAACAAGGATACAAGGAATTTTTTCTGAAAATTTATTTTTATTTTTCTACCTAGTCTGCTTATAACTTCTCCCAGCGATGTCCTCATCTCTCTAACCCCTCCAAATAGTACTCGGAGTTTTTTTCTGCAAAATAATTGTTCATGAGGGTAATTGCCTCCTCATTTGACGAAAATCAAACCGTAATTCGTGAATTTTTAAGATGGCAACCGCTGAGTTGTGAGAGCGCATTTCATTGTGAAACAGGATTTTCTTTTTTTTATATATATGATTTGGTGACAAATGAGCACACAGTCTACCTGATGATAAGTGGTTGCTGTGGCCCATAGACATCTACGTTATACGTTGTCACCCATGAGGACTAAGATGGAGTGCCTCGTTTCCAGTAAAAAGGGTCTCGGGTTCTCTACACTCACCACAACAGTATCAAGCTACTATTTTACGCTGGTATTCTGTGGTCCTTCCCCGGTCGAGCCGACTCATTCGTGCTACAACTATACTACTAATATAACTGCAGCATGGCTCTACCACGTATAAACTTTTTCTGCAAATGTGGCTGTTTCTCCGCAATTTCTGCCTTTAGTTTCTCAAGTAATGATGCGTAGTATGCTACTGTAATGGTTTTACCTCTGAATATAATTGATTAAGATAACTCCATGACTATCCCAAAAACAAGTCTCTATCACTTTCACAGCCGAAAAATCAGCTCTTGCTTTTATTGGAGCATGTTGCTCCTTTGCAGTCCACTGTTGTGACCCCTGTACACTGAATTTATATTTCGGGCGTATAATGATGTTTCCAAATTTAGTCTACAGTAATTAATCAGCGCCAAAACTCGGATTTATAGTGCCTAAACGTACCAACGGAGCATTGGAAATATTCATTCGAACACGTTTTTGGTCTAACGTGAGTAAACGCGGCACTTTCTCATTCCTAAATCTTGATTTAATATTTGATAAACATGTTATTTCTATAGCCTCTGCTATCTCTCTCACTTTGATTCGACGGTCTCGATGCTCAGTTTTTTCCATTTTCACAAAAACACTCACATCGACTCACTCAAACGACTGTTAAATAACGACTACGTGTCCAAAATAGCTGAAATTTTGGTGTATAACAGCCAAAAGGTGCACAACCGTATTCATTAGCATTTATTGTCAAGTGTTGCCAGCTTCTCGTTGAGATCGCAAACTTTTGAGACAACCCTAGTATATAAGCATGCTTATGCAAAAAGTGACTTAATCTTTATTCTATACAATGGCGTACTATTGAATTTAGACTAGCTTCTTCGTATATTCGTAATAGCTCTTGCTGCTTGTAAACTTTTACAATTTACCCTTAATTGTATACAATGGGATGCTGTTGATATAATAATGAGAGCAAAAAATATTAGAAAGCTCTTAAAAATTAAATATTGGGACCTCAATCCACCGCGGACAAGTTTTATTTACTAAGAATGTAACGATGATTAAATTATGAAAAATTTGAGCGTCGTTGTATTTAGTTAAAAGAATAAACCTGATAGAATCATAACAGAGAATCTCACAATCGGGTATGTTCTTGAATGCGTTGAAAGATTTTGATGTAAGTTAAATACTTTCTTCGATAAATATATATTTATTAGTGAGGAATATAATATTAGTGAGGAGGCGGGGTAAAGAAGAACGTTACGGCGCGGTACATGGGGGGGAGGGAGGGTCAAAAAACTTCAAATTTTGCGTTAAGTAATACTTGAACGCCCCTTATGAGTAATAATCTATATCAAATAAAAATATCCTATTATATCCTATCCCCTGAGCTGCCAAAGCACATTTATGGCATTTAATGTTTTATACGCTCATTTTCATGGGACAGGGATGGCGAAACAATGGCACGCGTGCTATCGGTGGCACGCGACATAATATTTTGGGCACGCCACCGATCGGAAATTTCATTATGAAGTCATATGAAGTATTATATTATTACGAACGAACGCGAGCGATTCTAGTTACATCGTGGACTACCATTGCTAATGACGCATAGTTTGTTTAATCATCATCATTATAGCCCTTCACAAGTTCACGCTTCCCCTAAGGAAAGCATAGTCCGTTTACGCATAGTATAAAAGTCAATTTCGTTGACACAACTATATTTAAAATTTCATTTGTGTTATACATATTTAGGATTTTAAAACCCCAATATAAGTTATTGTACATCTAATCTGCAACTACAGAAGTCACACTAATGTTACTTTACGCTCATAACTAAAACATTTATTATTATACATTGCTAAATGTATTTCACAATGTATAATAATAAATGTCTCAACTCAAAACTCCTTATTTATTTTTTTAGTCGATAGCATTTAGTACTATTATTTTCCCACTAATCACGAAGTTAAAATTATTTTACGGCATATCTACTCGTATTACCTAATTAAACATTTCTTTAGAATAATGACACGTTGATACATAAAGGTTTGTCCACTCTTGTCATTGGAGGTTGTGGCATATGACGTCCATATATTATCATAGTTAGCCTGGGCTAACTTCACCTTTTAAACCATGTGCTCCGTTCTATGCAGCAACAGCTTACAATTTAGATTTTAGGTTATTAATTTTATATCATTTTATTAATTAAATGAATTTATTTATTAAATATTGAATATTATTATTTATGTAATTCCAAGTAGATCGTAGCACCCAGCCATGTTCTCTAACGTTGCCTGTCTTAGAGTACGTCTGGGTACCGCCTTCTCACCAGATCCTGTTCCAAAAGAGCAATCCTTGCAATGCTGTGCTCCAGTCTGTGAAATTTAAAAGCATTATATGCTTTTTTTAATATTTGAATTAAAGTTATTTTCAAAATTTCAAGTCTCAAGATTATCGGGTAGTTAGACTGAAATAAATTATATGTTTCGACCAAAATACACATACATAAAGCAAGTTTATAAAAACTATAAATACTATTTCTGAAAGGCTGTCTTTAAATTGTCGGTGTGCATCACATTCCAAAATAAATACCATCAGCAGTCATGTACAACGTATATAGTTTTTTTGAAGTTGAAGTTTCGCTAATAGAAAAACCACGGTTAATTTAAATTGTTAAATTAATTTCGACTTATTGAATTGCCATTACATGCCATT